CCCCGCTGCAGGCCTGCCTGTGGGACCACGGGGTGGAGGTGGGGGGTCCTGAGCCCTGCCTGCCCCCCGCCCCGCTGCAGGCCTGCAGGTGGTCCTCAACTCCATCTTCAAGGCCATGCTCCCGCTGTTCCACATCGGCCTGCTGGTCCTCTTCATGGTCACCATCTACGCCATCATCGGGCTGGAGCTCTTCAAGGGCAAGATGCACAAGACCTGCTACTTCGTTGGAACTGGTGAGCCCGGCCGCGGCGCTGGGGGAGCCGCCCTGCCGTGAGCAAGCCCCGGGGCTGGGTCACTGCTGCCCACGCAGGCTGACCTCGGGAACGGGTTTCTCCTGGACGAGGGACTGGAGGAAGGACCGCTCCGCTCGGGTCCACGACCGAGGGAAGTGGACAGGCGCCTGGGCCGCTGCTGGTTCTGAAGCGCTGCCCACCCCCCGCCCCCAGATAAGATGGGGCATCTTGGGGCTTTCTGGGCAGGTTGTGAGTCGAGATGCAGGGAAACCTCCTTTTTAAAGCTCTGTGGGTACAAATGACACATTACACCGGCTTCCTAGGTCGCCCTTCACAGGACAAGTAATCCTAGGGGCTGACCCTCCAGGGAGGCCCTGGGGCCTCAGATGCAGCCACTGCTGCCCACAGGTGCCCACTGCGGGCTCCTTGGCCCCAGGCTTCTGCTGCATCTGCACCCTGTGCGCCCTGGTCCTTTCCTGTCCAGCTGACACCGTCCCCCATCCGTTATCAATGACTCTAACGACTTTTCTCCCACCGTTGTCTACCGGCTCCTGCTGCCAATGCTCTCGCTACCTCCGGCCTCCAGACATCGTGGCCACCGTGGACAACGAGAAGCCGTCCCCCTGCGCCAGGACGGGCTCGGGCCGCCCGTGCACCATCAACGGCAGCGAGTGCCGGGGCGGCTGGCCGGGGCCCAACCACGGCGTCACCCACTTTGACAACTTCGGCTTCTCCATGCTGACCGTGTACCAGTGCATCACTATGGAAGGCTGGACCGACGTGCTCTACTGGGTGGGTGGGGCCGCGCCGGCCAATCACCTCCCTTCGCCCCGGCCACCCGCGCGTCACCCACTGCTTCTCTCGTCCCCCGCACCGGGGAACCTGTACAGGATGCATGTCCCCCACCCCTCCCCAGGTGTGTGTCCCAGCATGCTTTGGGCAGTCCCCAATATACAGCCTGTCTGTGCAGGACCCAAGACACGGGGAGGGATGCAAGCCCGCCGCTCCGTGGTCTGGCTCTGGTCTCAGCCCCTAACTTGTCCCTAAGCCTGGCTGTGACGACTCATTCCTGATGGCCTGGAGTCTCAGGTTTCTTGAGGATGACGGGCCTTCTGAGTCTCCCTTCTTGCCACTGGGCAAGACTGCTTTCCTACATACATATAATTAGATATCAATTCCCTCACCTGTAAAATACAGAGACTACCTGCGTCATAGGGCAGCTGTGATGGTTAGCGGGAGGGCTCGCTGAATGACGACAGTGCTGGCACACGGTCAGTACTGTGTAAGCGTTCTCATGGAGCCTGTTATTTATTTGGTGTTATTCAGAGCTAGGTTGCGTTTCTTAGTTAATCCTCCCGCCACGCAAGCCATTGTCCCCGTTTCACAGACAGGGAATCTGAGGCTCTGAGAGGCCCAGTAACTCGCCCGTGGTTACGGAGCTCAGGAGTAGTAGATGGAAGAACTCTGGCTCCAACCCCAGAACCACACACAGTGTGACGTTGCCTGTGGGGGAAACATTGTCACACTGTCCAATGCTTTGCAAATATAAAGTATTAGCATGAGGGGTTCTTGTGATGTCCTATTATGGGAACAAATCACTCACCATTTGGAAGGGCTGCCGTGTTCTTTCACCTCTGCTGCAAGAGGGAGTGTAAACCTTTATCCCCATTAGGCAGATGGGATAATGTTCAGAGGCACTGGGTGCCTTGCCTCGGGTCACAGGGGTTGTCCACGAAGGAGCTGGCCAAGCTCAGGCCAAGGCTTTTTACTGTTTCTCCGACTTTGAAAAGTCTGGACTGTAAAGACACCACCTGGAAATGCGTTCATAAGTCAGGCCAGGGAGGCGGTCGGGTGGAGGAGGAAGTGGACCAGTCTTACCTGGACCTGGTACACAGTCAACAAGCCCCCACTGGGGAGGTCCTTTATCGCCAGGTCCTAGGTCCTCAGGAGAGAAAAGTCCCCTCCCAAGGACCAGATGGCCTCTCTCCTTGTCCCGCAGGGTTGGTGGAGAGGGGGACTCAGGGAGGGGACCTGCGCTCTCACGTCAGGGGACGGGACTCATACTTCTGTCCGACCAGGTCAACGATGCCATTGGGAACGAGTGGCCCTGGATCTATTTTGTCACCCTCATTCTGCTGGGATCCTTCTTCATCCTCAACCTGGTGCTGGGTGTCCTGAGCGGGTGAGGACCCTGCGAGGCGGCTGGAGGAGCGGGGAGGAGGGGAGCAGCAGACAGGGAGGCGTGGGTTACCCTCTGCTCACCCCAGGGTCCCCTTTAACCAAAGCCACACTCCCCCGTTATCCAGGAAGAGAAAGGAGAGGCAGGCAGCGGCCCCTCCCTGTTAAGTTGTTCCCCCTTCTCCTCAAGTCTTCCCCCGTCCCTCTCCCTCCTGTCCCTCTGCGACCCCAGCCTCCTGGGCCTGGATGTGCACGAGCAGCTGCTCAGCGTGAAGCCTCTCTATAGCTTTCAGGTGAAGCACACAGACGGTGGAGCGAGACGGTCCACGTTTAAATCCTTGCACCACGGCTTGGTAGCTGTGTGACCTTTGCCTAATTACCTAACCTCTCTGGGCCTCAGGACCCATATCTGTGAAATGGGAATCATTTTAGAGCCCGTTTCCTAGGATTGTGCGGAGAATTTAGTGAGTGGATACATGTAAAGCACTTAGAGTCCAGCACAGCATAAGCACCAAGCACTAACTCATGGTCATTGCTAACCAGAGTGGCTATCTCTGTGACAGCTCTGCCCAGCCACACGGGGAGCCTGGGGGTGACCAGCACCCCCTTCCCCGCTGCCATCGCCCCACCCAGGAGCTTCCCCACAGGCACGCTGTGGCTAGAACTCCGAGGAGGGACCCACAGGTCTCACGGCGCCAGCCGGTCACAAGCCCCCGCCTGTGCTGGAGGCCCCCTCCTGCTCCACCCTGCGGGGGCCTCTGCTGGCCTGAGGACCCCTCCCTGGCCCTCAGGCCTTTTCCTGGCGGTGCTGCCACCTGGTTCCTTCAAGGCCTGGGAGAGTTTCCTCCAGGCCTTAGGTCTGCGAGCAGAACTAAATTTCTAACGTAGCTTAAAGGGCCAGGGCAGCGTGGAAAATCGAGGGACCCCAGGCCGATTCTGGAAGGCAGTGGACTGTCATGTCAGTCACCCCTCATGTCCCAGGGAGCCCCAAGATGAGGTAGGAGAAGATGAGACGGGGTGAGAAGAGGTGACAGGGAGGTTCTGCTGGGGGGTGGCAGGTGAGGAGAGAGGGCTGGCCCCAGGCGACTCCCGGGCCACGAGGAGGGGCGCCTCTCCCGCCCTCCCATTCCCCGTTTCCCACCGCAGGGAGTTCACCAAGGAGCGGGAGAAGGCCAAGTCCAGGGGGACCTTCCAGAAGCTCCGCGAGAAGCAGCAGCTGGACGAGGACCTCCGGGGCTACATGAGCTGGGTCACCCAGGGAGAGGTCATGGATGCTGAGGACCTGAGAGAAGGTTCGCACCCCAAGGCCCTGCTCAGCATGCCCCCCGCCCCGCTGCCCCTCACAGTAAACCCAGGAGGCCCTGAGAGGGTGAGCGACTGGCCTGAAGCCCTACAGCTCGCAACGGCCATCCAGCCGTGCCAGGGCACTGCCGCCCCTCCCCGCCCCTCCCCTCTGGGCTCCTGGGAACCTGGTCTCAGGGAAGCAGAGGCATCCGGGCCCGCCTAGGAGCTGCTGTCACAGGGGTCCCCAGTAACAGGCCCTTTTCCAGGTGTGTCCAGCCCGGAGGGGCCCAGGAGACTGGCCCATTGTCTCTCTCTTGTCCCCAGGAAAGCTGGCCTTGGATGAAGGTGGCTCCGACACAGAGAGCCTGTATGAGATTGAGGGATTGAACAAAATCATCCAGTTCATGTGAGTGTCTGCCCATCTCTCCAGGGTCCTCCCAGCCCCAGGCTCCCTGAGACATGGCGTTGGGACCCAGTTACCTCCCTTCTGGGTGGCTTTGGAGTCACTCCCAGTCCCTCAGTGCAACTGGAGGGCACTCAGCAGGTGGCCTGCTTGTAGACCACTGCCCCGGCTGCTACCCACCCATCAGAGCGGAATTGGTGGGGCGGTTAGTCTTGGAACCTCTTTAGGGGATGAGTGGAGGTGTGCACCCCAAAGGGGGTAGGTGTGTGGACCCCAAAGAGGCAGCCAGTGAGCTTTGCAGGAAGGAGAATGCAGCCCATGCTTTTGTCTCAAAAGGAGGGAGTGTTTGTTTCATTGGCTGCTTTCTTTTACAAATTCAAACACAACTGTGATTTTGAAAGATCAAACAGCAGAGAAACACATCAAAGAAAAGATGAAGGCCCTACTTCATGTACAGCGGTAACCATAGAAACGGATTAGCATCCCTCCCAGGCCTTTCCTGTCTCACACACACACCAGGTTTTCTGGGGTTTGTTTTTGCCTTTTAAATGACAGGGTTGTTTATATCAACTGTTGTCACTTTAGACCCGAGAGCAGGGCCCAGCAAGGAGGTGCGGCCAGGTGTTTGATGAACAAATGAATGTGTTATACAGATTCCCTAGTGACTCCCATTTTTACCTTAAAATTATCTATTGAGGGCAACGTTATACCTACACATACACATCTTTCTTTTTTAAGACTTCGTTTTCTTACGGTAGTTATAGGTTCGCGGCAAAATTGAGGGGATGGTACAGAAATTTCCCATATACCCCCGGCCCCCAAACATGCACAGCCTCCCCGTCCTCAACATGCCCACCAGATGGTACGTGTGTCACCACTGACGAGCCCACGTGGACACGTCATCACCCAGAGCCCATAGCTGACATTAGGGTCACTCTTGGCGCTGTGCGTTCTATGGGTTTGGACAAATGTGTGATGACATGTACCCATCATTACAGTGTCACACACAGATGTCACTGCTCTAAAAATCTGAGCTGTACCTGTTCATCCCCCTCAACCTTCCAACTGCTAGGAAACACTGATCCTTTTACTGTCTCCATAGTTTTGCCTTTTCCAGAAAGTCACAGAGTTGGAATCCTACAGTTTGTAACTTTCCCACATTGGCTTCTGTCCCTTGGTAATATGCATTTAAGTCTCCTCCATGTCTTTCATGGCTTGATAGCTCACACACCACTTTTGGGATATCTTTTGATGTAAAATATTCCGCAGTGTGGATATTTAGTAATACTTAAACTATCCCACAGTATGGATACTTAGTAATACCTAAAACTATCCCACACTATGGATAATCTTTAAATACCACACAGTGTGGATACTTAGGTGCATAGATTCAGTCAGCCTTTCCAGGTTTTGGCAATATGAACAGCAGCTCAGGGAGGAGTTGTGCGAAAGTGTGAACATTTCTGCAGGCAGATCCCTCAAAACGAACTGGCTGGGTTGAAGGGTCAAAGGGTATGTGAATTTTAAACCTTGGTAAACGCTGCCAAGTTGCTCTCCAAGAAGGTGGCACTGACTGTGAAAGAGCCCTGGCCACACACCAGCTATCATTAATTTGTTAAAGAATGACCTCTGTAATGGGCAAAACCTGGCACCAGTGTTGCCTTCACTAAAGTTAAAATGTGTGGAGCCCCACGGCCTGCCGGGCACTGTGCTGCACGTTCTGTGGCTTTATCTCTTGTTCCCTCGGAGCCTGGCATCGCTGTGTGGTCCTTGGAAAGAGGGAGGACTTAGCTAGTAAGAGATGAGATTGTAGCTCTGCCTGGCTCCACAGCTGGCGCCTGCAGCCTGTCTCGTGTGGCCGTAGGAGAGAGGGGTGGTCAGACCCAGTGCGGCTGGAGTCTGTCCGGAAGTAACACAGACAGGGGGGCTCAGGGTAAAGCAGCTTGTTACCGCCATCGTGTTCCATCTCTTCCTCAGCCGACACTGGAGGCAGTGGAACCGTATCTTTCGCTGGAAGTGCCACGACGTGGTGAAGACCAGAGCCTTCTACTGGCTGGTGATCCTGATTGTGGCCCTCAACACCCTGTCCATCGCCTCTGAGCACCACAACCAGCCGCTCTGGCTGACCCATCTGCAAGGTGAGACAGGCCAGGAAGAGGACGGATGTGGCTGGTGGACAAAGCCAGCCACTGGCTCCTCGGGTTTTGTAGAAGAGGTCAATTAGATCTTGACATTGTTTTCTAGACATTACAGGCTGGTGGTACTTGGCCCCTCCCGGTAGAAACAGTAGCACATGGGGAAACCTCCAGATGCCTGCCCAGGGGTGTGGGAAAATTATTCCCATTCCAGACACTAGACATGAGGAATGCCAGTAATTCAGAGCTCCAAGCCGCCAAGCTGAAATTCTGCTCGCAAAACAGCCATCTTGCACCAACTGTTTTTTGAGCACATGCTCTACGTAAGGCACAGAAAAAGGCCTCGGGGTGCAGAGAGAGTAAACAGTGCCTTGCCTTCAATGAGCTCACTTAGCCAGAGGCAAAGACAGATATTATATTCATGAATAATGTCAAGTCACTATGGGGGGGGGGCGATAAAGGAAGTACATATAAGGGGAAGATTGCAATGAGAAGATAATGAAAAGTTATAAGCGGGGATGCGACATGATCGGACCTGAGTTTTTGAAGGGTGAGTCCTGGCGGCAAGTGAATCGCCCCGGTGGTGGGTGTCCCCCTGTGTGTGGAGCTCTGGGCTATGACAGGCAGCAGAGTAAGAAAAAACAGGGTCCACCAAATTTCCACCAACACGGTGATCAAACTGAATGTCCTCCCCACTCCAAGCACACAGCAATGCTGCCGAGTGATGAGAATAATATTCCGAAGAGAGAAAAGGAGGTTTCGGGGTGACTGAAAACCAGAGCAGACGGCTCATGAGCTGACTTCCGGGAACATGTCAGACCTAGCCCTCAGCCCTGAAAGGTGGCACTGAGTCCTCAATGCCTGTGCGGGGACAGGAGACAGGGCCCAGGCCCGTGTGACGTGGGAAAAAGCCTGGGTCCTGGAAGGACTGGCCCCATGTAAAAGATGCAAAATCTCACTGCCCATTGCGCCAGGAAGGAGCGTGGGGGTATCCACAGTGCGGGCTCGGGGAAGAAGGGACATCCAGACCCCACCTGTGCCCAGTACAGGTGTGAGGTCCAGTTTGCACTGTCCTCAGGGTGGAGGGCTCCTGAGCTGAGTGAGACGTAGAAAACTAGTTGCTGATAAGTGAACCCCCTGGGGTGCCCAGCAGAAGCATGCATTAGCCGTTCTTGAAGGTGCTTCTCAACCCAAGGCACACAGGATTCCTGCTGGGAAGGGGGCTTCCCAGAGATGAGCTCACAACAAGGTGATGGAAACCAAATCAGGAACAGAGCCACCACTGGGAAGAGTTATCAGGCACGACCTCTAGGAGCTGGCAACCCCGAAAGCCTGAGATGGGAGAGCAGCATACAGGCACTTTGTTTAAAATGATGGAAAGGTTTTTTTAAAAAGGAAAATAACTAGAAAAGGAGACTATCTTTTTCTGGGAGAAGGAGATTGGGGCACAGTGCTGCAGTTCCAATGGGTGTGACCATCCTCCATCCATCATCCATCCATCCACCCATCCACCCATCCATCCATCCATCATCCACCCATCCACCCATCCATCCATCCATCATCCATCCATCCACCATCCATCATCCATCCATCCACCCATTCATCCATCCATCATCCATCATCCATCCATCCATCATCCATCCACCATCCATCATCCATCATCCATCCACCTATCCACCCATCCATCCATCCATCATCCATCATCCATCCATCCATTCATCATCCACCCATCCACCCATCCATCCATCCACATCTCTACTCATCATCCATCCGTTACATATACATCATCCATCCATCTGTCCATCTATCTATCTGTCTATCCATCCATCCTTCCATCCATTTATCTGTCCATCCATCATTCATCCATGATCCATCCATCATCCGTCCATCCCTCTGTGAATACATTCATTACAATCAATCTTGTTGAGGTCCCTGAATGTGCCACGCAGTGTCAATGGCCAAATGTGGACAAGATGTGAACCCTGCTGGCCAAGTGGGGTCAGGCATGAGCCTGAGGTTCCCGACCGGAGCAGATAAATGGACGGCGGTGCCACTTACTGAGATGGGGAAGAGAGTCAATGACCAGGTGTTTTTGAGGGGTGGGGAGGATGGGCTAGACCCACCGGCTTAGCCCTGGGCATGTTGAGTTCGAGGTGCCTTCAAGACTTCACAATTGAGATGTAAGGGAGGCAGATGGCCAACTAGGCCTGCAACGCGGTGGAAAGGTCTGAGTTGCAGAGTTCAAGTCTGGGAGGTGTTAGCAGGGATGGCAGCGGGAGGCGTGGTCTTAGACGGCATTGCCAGATGCCCGGGACGGGGGGTGCGCAAGTGTACAGCTCAAGGCCAGCATCAGCGACCAGGTGAAGACTGTGTCTGCGGAGGAGACGTAAAAGTAGAGGAAAGCCAGCAGGGTGTGGCGTCAAGAAGCCAAGGAAGAAGCAAGACGCTGGTCCACCATGCCCAGTGCTTCCGGGAGGCCAGGAAAATGTCCCTTGGATTTGGCCACATGGAGTGATTGGTGGCTGGTGGGGTCACCAGGGGGCCTCTTAACTGTAGAGCTGTTTAGCTTTCAGAAATCTCGATTAGTCTCCTTTCAAGGGGCAAAAATTCATGGGGCTCTTTGGATTTTAAGAGTAGGAAACGGACAGTGGCTTGGACATGTGGAGAAAGGGGATGGGGGGGGGGCGGTGGCTCGGACAGGCACAGGCACAGGCACGGAGGCAGGGAAGGTGACGGGCGATGCTGAGCTTGCTTGTGTGCCCCAGATGTTGCCAACCAGGTGCTGCTGTGCCTCTTCACCATCGAGATGCTGATGAAGATGTACGGGCTGGGCCTGCGGCAATACTTCATGTCCATCTTCAACCGCTTCGACTGCTTCGTGGTGTGCAGCGGCCTCCTGGAGATCCTGCTTGTGGCCTCGGGCGCCATGAGCCCCCTGGGCATCTCCGTGCTGCGCTGCATTCGCCTCCTCAGGCTCTTCAAGGTCACCAAGTGAGCAGGGCGGGCTCCCGGCACACCTGGGCGGCACACCTGGGCGGGGCCACACCCATCCCATCTCCCATGGTCTGGGGTCCTGCAAGTTCATGTGAAATTACTTTGAGTGAAATGACAAACCGAGGTCCGTGCTGTGAAGGAAGAGTGGGGGGCAGATCCACGGGCCTCCCCCTCCAGGCAGCCCTCTGCCCTGCGCCCCCCCATGGACACCTGTGGGAGGGCTGCCCCCCTCCACCTGGTGGCCGTCTCCTCAGGTACTGGACGTCGCTGAGCAACCTGGTGGCGTCCCTGCTCAACTCCATCCGCTCCATCGCCTCGCTGCTGCTGCTGCTGTTCCTCTTCATCATCATCTTCGCCCTGCTGGGCATGCAGCTCTTCGGGGGCAGGTACGACTTCGAGGACACCGAGGTGCCTCGCAGCAACTTCGACAACTTCCCGCAGGCTCTCATCAGCGTCTTCCAGGTGGGCCGCCCGCAGGTGCCGCTCCCGCTGCTTGTCCTCTCCATCAGGGTGGGCACCACCTCCTCCAGGAAGCCCCTTGGATCTCGGGGTTTGAGTTCAGGTCCCTGTGCAGGCTCGCTCACCCCTCTGGCTCTCCCCGTGTGACAGCTGCTCACCTGTGTCCTCCAGGCTCCCGAGCCAGGAGCTGTGCCCAGCTTGTCCTCTGTGTCCGTGTCCCTGTGTCCGGCCGAGGGCTGGCCCACAGTAGGACGACAGGTCATGAATGAATGGGGCTGGGGCAGGCTGGGAGGCCAAGTGCCTGCTTTCTCACCCATGTGCCCCTCCTACCTCTGCACAAAGCCAGTTGATGTGAGACCGCCCCCCCCCAGGGCTGCCCCTCCCCCAGGAAACACAAACTACCGCGCCCTGTAAGCCTCAGTCAGCGTGCCCAGGAAGCCACCCCAGGGAGAGAGCTGGGATTCACCAAGAGGCCCCTGGAGGGGCTGCCTTAGTGGAGAGAAACGCTCCCCCCATCAAGCTGCAGCCAGTACCCGTGGGGGATACCCTTGTTGGGACAGTGGGCAAGTGGGTGACAACCAGTTGGTCCTATATGTGGCTCCTCTGTCTTCCATTCACCCCACTGGCTGGTCATGCAACGTGTCTTTGAAGGCACTTGACATTTCACACTCCGGCTGGAGTGACAGGAGGCCGGTGGAGACGGCACAGCTAAACCTGAGTGGGAGGAACAGAGCACAGGGACGCCGTGACCCCACTTGGTGACAGTCACACTCCTTGGCCCTGGAAAACCAAGGATAAGATTTTGGCTCATTGGAAGAGATGCAGGGAGGAGAGTAGGGACTTTTGTCCTGGCCGTGGCTGGAGAGAGAGAAGGTCTCGGAACGGGCACGTTGGAAGGGGCCTTTCGGACAATGCTGCCCCACTGAGCACTCTCAGTCCCGCTGTGACCCCCCGCTCCCCCCCTGCCCCCAGGTCCTGACAGGTGAAGACTGGAACTCCGTGATGTACAACGGCATCATGGCCTACGGGGGGCCCTCCTACCCCGGGATGCTTGTGTGCATCTACTTCATCATCCTGTTCGTCTGCGGCAACTGTATCCCCTCTGAGAGCAGGTGTAGGAAGAGCTTAGGGAGGCGCCGGGACACGGTGCCTCCTGGCCGGGCTCCCAGGCTCACCGGGAGGGGAGGCGAGACAGGACGTGGCAAATGGCAAGTGCAGGTATAACTGGAGGATAATTCCTTCCACCAGGGAGGCTAGGGAGCCCAGGGCAACAGGTCACAGGTGGGAGAAGTTCATCCAGGAGGCTGGTGAGCCTGGAGCAGGTAGGGAGGACGGACAAGGCTTGGGGCAGGGGCGGTGGACAGCGGGACACCTAGGACAAAGGCTGGAGGAAGCAGGCGCCAGGCAGTGCGAGTGTGGGCAGACGGGAGGGCCGGGGGCTGGGGCAGAGGCCCGGCAGTGCCCGCGTCCTGGTGTCTGCACCACGGAACTTGATATTACGAGTAGGCGAGGGAGGGGGCCCTTGTCCCTTGAGCTCCTAAGGGCCAAGTGTGATTCTCCCGTGTAGGACCTCAGTGGCTCCCACAGCCCGTGTGGAGATGGGGTCAGTCCAGGGCAGGACATGGATGGTCTCAAGGCCACAGTGGATTCAGGCCCTTCGTGGGCACCCTGTGCACGCCCCCCACCGCCCCTGGGATGTGTGTCTGTGTCCCTATGCCCTCCTGTGGGGTAACTCTGGCAGGAAGGACCCCAGAGACCCCACCGAGGGAGTGAGGTTAAGTTGTGCCGATGTGACCGGTCCAGAGGCTTGCCTTCCACCCAAACCCGAGGCTCCTTAGCTGGACGCCCTCAGACATCCTGCTCAACGTCTTCCTGGCCATTGCCGTGGACAACCTGGCCGAGGCGGAGAGCCTGACCTCTGCCCAGAAGGCCAAGGCTGAGGAGAGGAAACGCCGGAAGATGTCCAGGTGAGCGTTGCGTCCTCAGCAGCAGTGGCCCCAAGCTCTGGGCAGGTGGCTCCTGGGCACCTGAGGAGCAGAGACCGTGCCACTGTGACAGCTGCCCAGTAGGCAGGCCTCTGTGACCAGCAGACCCAGGGAGGCCTGAGGTCCTGTGAGGTGTCCTTGGGGGCAGGACGAGAAGCAAGCCGGCCTCTAGACAGGCCCCGGAAACGTGGGGGCACAGCCAGGCAGGCTGGGCCGGGAGCCCTGGTGAGCGTTCTAGGAATTCTCCCTGCTGGCCACTGCGTCACCGAGATCTTGGGGGTCATTTCCCTTTGCTGGGCCTCAGCCACCTCACCTGTGAAGTGGGGTTGTCTTCTCGGGTCCTTTACAATCTCCTCCATCTATGAGTTTGTCGTTAACCTGTAGCCCGAGCCCCTCCTCCAGGGAAGCAGGACATGTGGTCTCCTACGGTTTCTGAAACGCTCACTGAGTGAATCACCTGGGGACCTTGTCGAGACGCAGATTCTGAACCCAGAAGTCCAGGGTGGGGTGGAGACTGCGTTTCCAGCAGCTCCCAGGTGGGGCAAAGCTTCTGGGTGGAGAGCCAGCTGCCCTGCGTGGTCCCAGACGAAGGCCTGCCCCTCCAGTGCCTGTTCCTGGTGGAGGCGAGGAAGGGAGACAGGCCAGCACGGGGTCGCCACGGGTCCTGAGACTTTCCAAAGACGAGCCCTGTCTAGGACACAGGAACAGCATCACGAAGCGGGTGCAAAGCCACGTCCCACGCACTCGCCGATCAGCAGACAGTGCGTGTGGCTGACTGGCGAGCTGCACTTGGCCGTGGGTGCGAGCTGGTTGCCGGGTGCTCTCGCCACGGAGGCCTTGCCCAGGCCCACAGCCCTTCCGCTCTGGTGGCCAACGCTGACCCGTCCTCCACAGAGCTCCCTGAGCCCTTGGTGCAGGGTCCCCCAGGCTGAGCAGGCCCTCGAGAACTTTCTAGCTGGACCTCCACCTTGTGTTTCCTTGGTGTCCCCGACCCAGGGGTCTCCCAGAGAAGTCTGAGGAGGAGAAGTCAATGGCGACCAAGAAGCTGGAGCAGAAGCCCAAGGGGGAGGGTATCCCCACCACCGCCAAGGTGAGCTCAGCACGCCGCATGCCCAGGACAGCATGGGGAAGGCCCTGGGCCCCCCACGCCTGAGGGTGCCCCGGGGTGAGTGGGAGGTAGGAGAGTAGCTCTCAGCCAGGCGGGGCCACCTCCCTTCACTCCACTGGGGGTCAGCCAGTGACCACAGCTCCCACAGGGGAACCCTGGGTGCTGAGAGGCACAATTGCCCTGATTTGGAAACCAGACGTCCTCAGGGTCCTAGTTTCCCAACCTGGTCAAGGCGCCCCGACCCCATTTGACACCCCATTCCATTGAGAGGCCCAGGCTGGCTTCCCCCTGTTCTAGCCTCACCCCGGCTTGCCCTGACCTGGCTGCGCCCACCCTTCTGACCCACCCCAGGGTCAGAGGACAGGCCGCTGGAGGGGTGGGGGCGCAGAGCACAGGCAGAGACGGGCTGGGGCCCTGGCTTTGCCCCCCGGGAGCTCGGCCAGCCTGTCTGACTTTCCGGGCCTGGCTTCTCACCTGTAAAATGGGGATGATCATCGTGTCACCTGTCCCCAGGCTGCGGGGAGCATTCAGTGAGTGGTATCCGACACTGGCCCCCCAGCAAATGTTCCGTAAGTGGAAACGGCTGGCCTTGTTCATGTCATCCTCTTCCGTGTTCCTTCTGACAGCTGAAAGTCGATGAGTTTGAGTCTAACGTCAATGAGGTGAAGGACCCCTACCCCTCGGCTGACTTTCCAGGTGACAGTCCTGGGACTGTGAGGGGGGCGGGGAGTGTGCTGGGCCTGGCTTCTCCCCGGGGACGGGCGCTCAGGTGTCCGCTACCTGTGCCCTCCCGCCCCCCACGTCTGAGCATCTGAGGTGGTGTGGGTCCAGTTCTGAGACAGGAACGCAGTAGCAAGGCTCCTGGCCCTAACTTCGGAAGGTTCTGGGCGTGATCCCTGATAGTTCAATCCTGTTCCCTGCAGGGAAAGGGAGATACCTCGCATCCTGCCCTGGTCTGGCACCACCTAGATTGCCGACTTCTGGGGGCTCATGGTTGGATTCAGAGCACAGAAGCCAAGGGAGCAGTAAAGTGTGGAAAGATATTCAAATTTCTCTTTCTCCCCTCCCTGTAGGAGACGATGAAGAAGATGAGCCCGAGATCCCAGTGAGCCCCCGACCGCGGCCCCTGGCTGAGCTGCAGCTGAAAGAGAAGGCCGTGCCCATCCCAGAAGCCAGTTCCTTCTTCATCTTCAGCCCCACCAACAAGTGGGTGGCCCCTTGGCTGCGGTACAGGGTGACACATGGGACTCCCAGAGAACGCTGTTTCCCTGCTCTAAGAAGACCCTGCTCTCCTGACTCTCTGAGCCTACAATTACACTATGAGAAACTCATTCCTTTAGCTTAATCGCTTGTGCCCTGTCTAAAATGCTCGCATCTCTGGGCAAAGCAACGCTCCCAGTCTTATCTATTACTTGCGCTTAAGAGGCACTGGTATATCGGTTCCTTTCCTAGGGCGATTTTAGACAGGACAAGGGGATGAGAGCTGGGGGAGCTGTGTTTTACTGGCTCTGCAAACGGCACACCTTTAAAACACACAGAATATGGTCTTCAAGGAGCCCCAAGTGCCTGCCTCATGGATGGAGATCAGCCTGTCCATTCTTTTGGTGGGGAAGCTGAGGGTGGTGGTGCAGCATTGGGGAGGGGCAGGTGGTGGGAAGGGATTGCTTGGGACATGGGACTAAGGCTGCGGAGACAAAACGAAGGGCAGGGCACCTTGTATGTCCAGCCAGGTGCAGGCTGTCCTTGTCCACTGACCCAGAAGCGAAGGACCCAGCGTCCCCCTGGAGGACAGAGGCTGGTAAGGCCCAGCAGCTCGCAGCTCCGCTGAACCCCACCCCCCTCCCCTGCAGGATCCGCGTCATGTGTCATCGCATCGTAAACGCCACCTGGTTCACCAACTTCATCCTGCTCTTCATCATGCTCAGCAGTGCTGCGCTGGCCGCCGAGGACCCCATCCAGGCCGAGTCCATGAGGAACCAGGTGGCGGCAGACCCGTGCCCTCCCCAGCTCAGGACCCCTCCCCACTCTCCGCCTCAGCTACCTGCGTACCTTGCCCCGGTGCCACGTTCAACTGTATTGTCTATGTGCCGAGAGGCATCAGAGTTTCTTAGAGTTTAAGTCCCTGGAAGGCCAAGACTGCCCAATCCACGTCTTCTGAATAGTGTTGTCACAGCATGTGGCACAGACAGACTCTTGTTGCCTGGTTTTAATGATGATGGTGATGGTAGTAATGATGGTGATGGTGGTGATGGTGATGGTGGTGATGGTGGTGATGGTGATGGTGGTGATGGTGATGGTGGTGATGGTGGTGATGGTGATGGTGGTGATGGTGGTGATGGTGATGATGGTGATGGTGGTGATGATGATGGTGATAATGGTGGTAACGGTGATGATGGTGATAATATCTTTGATCTACCCTTCCTCTCACTGACTTCTCCTCCTCTGTCCTGTCCCCAGA